TTAAAAAACCCACAATGTCATTAGTTACTAATACAAATTAACAAATAATCCTTATTTGGCATTTATTTAAATAATATTTATTATCACATTAAAATAGTCTCCTTATTTACCCAGCTTTCACAAGTGGCAAATAATAAAAATGAATATATAAAAGCAAGCAATAAAATATCAAACACAGTCCATAAAGCTACAAAATTCCAAAGAAGGCAAGAACAACAAACAGATTTTAAGTTCAAAACTTCTAGTTATATATCCAGTCAGATAAAAACTAATAACGGGTTGAATCAAGTCAAGAGTCCAAGAGCAAGTAATCTTTTGAAAGTAACCACCAACCTCTTGAAAGTAAACAAAAAATTTGCCAGGTGAGCCTACTGGTCTATGGAGTTCAACAGATGAGAAACCAGCAGTAGGAGAAATGTAGTCCCCATCTTTCCATTAGAAGTCTGGAGTACATGAAGCAGGGCCTTACCGGACAAGGTCAGTGCATAGAATGGAATATTTTGCATTCCATTCCATTCCATGCACAGGGTTTGTAGGATATAACTTCTTATGCCAAGGTAGGTGTTTCAGTGACAAGGTTGAGTCTGGCAAAATGATCCCTTGCTTCCCTTTGAACCAATTGAAAGCTAACTCTGCTATACTTCCTCTGCTAGCAGAAAGAAATGAGAAAGCTTTTGCCTAATTCTCCCTGCTTACTGCAGCCTCCTGTGCCTCATATCATTTTGTCCTCATTTTGTCCTCATGTCTTTTCCCCCTCCCTATAACACTGTGATTCCCCCCACTACCCCAGTACTTATTCCTCCATGTGGCATCTGTAAAGTACTGGGTTCACCACATGGAGTACTGTAAAGTACTGGGTTCACTCGGACTATGACATGCATTCAGACGCGTTTATTGTACTTCACACACAAGACAAAACAAACCGGCCCTGCAAGGGCCAACTATATACACTCCACCCAGCACACCCCGGTTCCCTTTGGAGGGGTTGAATTTCCCGCCAGAGGGTCTATTGGTGGACACAAGGTGGAGTAGGATCCTAGGTTCCCTTTGTGTTCGGGACCCAAGCTCCTACTATAGCCGCAGACCCCTGGTGGTGATCCGCGTACATAACAACATCTAGCTCTGCTGCTCCTCTGCTGTCTTCTGTCTCCCTCACCATTAGTCAAAATTGTGTGGGGAGTGATTGGAGGGGCCAGTGCCAAACCTTGTAAGGCCTTCCTCCACCCCACCCTCAGTACCACATGCAAAGGGAAAGCAGTGTCAAGCTGGCCAACTCTCCCTTCTGCCAGATGCAGCAAATCCTACCCCTTCCCCCCTCACCTGTACAATAGGGTCTGTGTGCTGTAATGGCCTTGTCCAAAAGACCCTGTCCCCAGCAGTGACTATTCAGGGGGCTGATGTGAAAGGGGAATGCAGGGAATGATCTGCCTCTGAAAGTGTCTTGAGTTTTATGGGATCCAACTCAAAAGAGCTGAGAATACCTTAATATGAAAATGAGCATGAATCACAATGCCAGTTTTACAAGCAAAAACAACCCAGAGCAGTAGGCAGAGAGGGAATACTACCTCACTGACCCAGACGCACTTATTAAATCTGTTGCTGATAATAATTCTGAAAACCGTGTGTGCTGCAACACTTCCAAAAGGCTAGATTTAAATAAGGTGGGCTATTTATTGTTCCTATTAAAGTGTGATGGCATTTTCCCCAGATTATAATAGTGATTTCAAACAGTGTTCCTGGGAATCCTGGACCTCCTTTAAAGCTTGTTGGGGGTTGCTTAAGGAAGATAAAAAATGGTAGGAAAATTTCCCACCAAAACCAGGCTTCCCCTACAATGCCTTGCCTACAATGTGTGGCAGTGAGTGTGTTGTGTGGTATGCCATCAGGTCATGCAGCACAATGATGTGGTAGTGACCCAATAAAAGCACTTTTGGAATCAATGGACACACCAGAATTTCCCACTGAATCCTCTCTATTGTGCCTAGCACATGCCATGGTGTTCGTTCAAGAGAAGCCAACATAGAATAGACTCCTTGAAGGTAAACATTTGGAAAACCCACTTAGGTAAAGGTTATCTGGAAAGATTCTCTGTTGAAATTATTGATCCCTTTCTTATTCTGCTTATGCAGCTTTAAAAAAAAAATCAATCCCTTGCATAATGCAGTGGTATTTTAAGTGGACAAGATTGCATTTGCTTTTCTCCATGGGCACAAGTAGAATTAATTAATTTGATACTGCTTGGATAATATTACAATTGCTACATTTTTATTAGTGAACTGTTCTACTTCTTACATTATTATATTTGTATATATAATAAACATAACCCCACATATGAGGAACAGCGTATACAGCTCTAGTTGGATGTACATTGTTTTTTTCTGCACCCAGGAAACCCTCCAATTTTTTCATACCAGATATGTGTCTGCCAGTCTATCATTTTATATAACTATTGTTTCTTTCTTTGTTTATTTTTCAGCTGATGAAAGTTGTAAATGAGATGTGTCCAAACATCACAAGAATTTACAATATCGGGAAGAGTCATCAAGGGCTAAAGCTGTATGCTGTTGAAATCTCAGACAACCCAGGAGAACACGAAGTTGGTTAGGATTATATATTGTAAAAAATTCACTTCTGGGTTGTTGGATAGAACTTTTAAAATGTTTGATCTTTTTAGCAATCCACATATTCACTGAGGGAAGGTGCTCACAGTAGTCATGGTGTGGTGAATACCCAAGGGAAGAATTCTGATGTTACTTTTCTGATTAAAGGACAAATGAGTTATATTATTTTTGCAATTAAAAAGTCCAGAAATTGACTGAAGTTTAATCCTGAAAAATCTATGCTGAGCATCCTTGTTTCTGTACTCTAGATCTAGAGAACAGAAAATGCAAAATATTTTCAGCTGCGTATTTGAGGAAATACAAACACAAGTCACTGTTGGGATGACAAATAATGTTGGAAACACATATATACATATCTACTCATTAATCAGGACAAGTATGCCAAGAATCTAAAAAGCAGTCAAAATTCCTATGTTTGTCTCATGAGTAGGAGCCAGAATTATCACAGCTAGCCAGTATCATCTCAGAAGCAAGTTGTGAGCAAAAATATTTCTTTACAAATATCCAATCTTCTAACTGGTGCTTTGAACCAGTCTTCACTCATCTCCTGGCTTACCAAAAATTAAAGATTTCTATTGGGTCTGGTCATTGAAAAGCATTACAAAGAAAGCTATTCCTCGTTTCTTTACTATTTCCTCGTTTCTTTACTCGTTCCTGTAGAAATAATGTACACTTCATCAGCGACAATGATTGTTTAATGTCATTTCTTTTCTTGTTTATATTCTTGACAGATGAACCTTTTAAAATGAATTCTACTTCAAAATGTACTCATGTGTACAAAGGATTTTAGCTTCATGGTTTAGGATAAGCATAGATATTTTCCTGAGGGCTAATTGTGTTAGTCTGTCATAGCAAAGGGAAAAAAGAGTCTTTTGACACCAGAAGACAGATTTATTGTGGCATGATGTTTCATGGGCTTGAGTTCACTTTGTCAAATGTAGTCAAGTGGATCCTTAGTCAGTAAGGTTTCTACAGCTCAGTCTTAGCCCTGGGCAGTGGCATAGCTAGTCCATATACTATGGTATTTCAGTAGAGAAAGGAAATATCAAAAAGATCCAACTCCAAGGAGCTGAGAGTATAGCAACAAGTTCTATAGCCATAACAAGACCGTAGCAACACTATTCCCCACACCAATCAGAGTGGCATGCTGATAATGCCCCCACACCAACCAAATATGGAATCAATCAACCAACACATGATGTTGGCATCCCTGTCTGATGTCCCTCAGTTACCACCTACACAGAGAACACAACAACAGAAAAAGAAAGGAATACCAGAGGAAGAAGAAGCAGGAAGACTTGTTTTTCACTCCTGTTCATGAGAGCGTTTTGATCAGCATAAAGTTATTCCAGCACCAGAAGCATGAGATGTGCTGAGGAGGCTTAGAACATTGACTGAGTACCAAATAGACAAGATATGTGTGGGGGAATGCATTGCCATTTATAGAATGGGGTCCCACCTGGGCCACAGGGGGCCAATTCTGGTTAGGACCATCACAGCATGATGGAGGGGGAGGAGATCCTGCTTTCCCTCCACATTGTACTGAATAAGGATTATACCTTAAGGAATAGTTGAAAAGCCAAGAGAGATGGATTGGGTCTTTAGGCCTGCAGTTGCCCATCACTGTCACATATTACTGAATAGGTAGGAATGTTATATAGGAATCTGGCACATTCCTTTCTTTTCTTTTTTTCCAAATTTCAGTTCTAGACCAAAAATCTCCATTCCTTTAGTGAATGTTAGATGCAGTTTTCAGTGTGCTTACATCTTTCTTTGGCTTTGAACAGGTGAACCTGAATTCCGATACATGGCAGGGGCTCATGGGAATGAAGTGCTTGGGCGAGAGCTGCTACTTTTGTTAATGCAGTTCATGTGCCAGGAATATCTGGCTGGAAATTCACGCATTGTACGCCTCATTGAAGATACGAGAATTCATCTTCTTCCTTCAATCAACCCAGATGGATATGAGAAAGCTTATGAAGTGGTAAGGAAGAGAGTAATTTACTTCATTAAAACTGACACTGATTTTCATTATGAAAATCAACTAAACTAGGTTCACATTGGTGTAATCTTTTTAACTTGAGAGGGTTGTTGTTGTTTTTAAAAAAGCCTGGGCTTGCTTATTCTCAGGGTTTCATCATATTTCGGGAAGCAAAGACACAGACTTACCTGGGTCCTGTTTTACAAACTCATGGGATGTTGCAGGAGGCCTGGTTGGGGTGGCATGTTGGGCTCTGTCCTGGAGGCTGCCATGGAAGCATGGCCTCCTCTGCCCCCCATGTCCTGGCCAATCAAATGGGTCTTGCTGTGGTGGGGGCAGGACCCAGCAGGTGGCGGGAGATTCAACTAGACTTGCTCCGCTGCTTCAACCACTTTGGACGTGGCTTCACCCACCCAACCTTCCCATAGTCATGCTGTTACAAGAATTTGTTTTTTCCTTGCTTCTTTCATCACAACTTTGTTGGCAGTGTCAACATGGGTGTGGATCCATTTGGGGGAAAATTAGCCTGCATGCTCATTTCCCCCATCTTGGGGATCACCTTAAGGGATTTGAGGGTAAGGTCTTATTGGGAACATTCCCAGCTTGTCTTAACCAAGCCTAAACAATCAAGGTAAACACTTGTCTTTCTATATTAATGTTATCTATCCATTTTAATGGTAATAGTTACAATCAACTGCATCTACAACCATCAGATCCACATTTATCCCCATGCCAAAAATCAAATCTTGACAAACAGTCAAGATGCATAAGTAACTGAGCAGTAAATATAGCTAAGATTAGATTAAGGCAATTGGTATAATCTGTGAATAGCAGCAAATTAGCATGCAGCATAATAAAAGAGTTTACAAACAGATGCAAGTACTGAATGACATTAGTATGTGTAGTGAGATAAGAAAGCAATATCTCTGTTAAGCCCTGGGGGTTACATTGTCCCGAGTGTTGTAATAACTTGTAATTCAGCAATCTCCCATTCTAGCCTGTTTCTGAAATTCTTCTGCTATAAAACAGCTACTTTTAACCTTTTTAGCTGTTTGTAAATAGCTCTGAGAGATGACATGCCAGGGACTATGGAAAATTTTATTGATTTTATTCATTCATTCATCCATTCATTTATCCACACACCCTCAAAATCAGTTTTTGATGTCCAGCTTTAGATTCAAAAAGCCAAGTGTCATATTTTGAAGCAGAATTTCCATATCAAATTTCAAATTCTGAAAGTTGTGTATTCACTGAATTTTGAAATTTTATGAGTTTCCCCCCCAGCTCTGCTTTGATATAAACATTGCTGATTAGATTTTCCTTTCTTCCAGTAATTCCCTTAAACTGACAGCTTGGTCAAAGCATCAACATTTCTTTACAGCTAAAATGCCTTAGTAGGATATTGTGCAATTTAAAAGAGTGGTCCAGGGAAGCAATTAAAAGAAAGTCTTTAAAAAAAGATTTTTAAAAAACAGTTAAGTGATATTGAATTTATTTCTTTCCAAGTTGTAATTTAGTTAATAATTGATGCTGTCTATAACCAACAATGTTTTTTTAGCATCAGAGCATTTTTTCTTTAAGAATACTGTACTGTTTCTATATATTATTAAACATATTAATCAGTGTCAGTGTTTTTATTCTCATCCATTTAATCATAACCTTCAGACATGGACTTACTATTGGTGGAGATGTGTTTCACAGAGAAAATGGAATTGCTTACAAAATAGCAGGATGTGTTGAATTCACCTTCTGCCTCTGTTCCATCGAATTCAACATAATCCATGTCCTCCTGGTGCCCTTACAATGTATATTTCACTTCTGACACTCCACATTACTAGGACCCACTTGCAGGGGAGGGTGGGATTTAAAATTAAATAAATAAATAGGGTTGCCAGCCCACAGCTCTGGCTGTTCCATTCTGTCACAGTATTTTGGCTCAGCCCAGGAACCCGAGGGAAGGATTGAGAGCCCCCTTAAACTTAAATAGCACTCAAGGTGTTTTGAAATTCCAAATTAACAAAATATTTTATTTAACATAGAGGGGAAAGGTCAGATGAAAACTGGAGTAAAATTTCTGAGGTAACTCAAAATAGAACTCTAAACCAAAACAGTATATGCACAGACTTTAGCTCATATGTTTCAGGCTATTGAGAGATTCGTAAGCTTTTGCTAGTGACTTAAGATCTTTAAGATGAGAGGCTTTTGTTCTCTCCAGTACACTTTCCAAACACTCCAGTACACTTTCTTTGAGTATTCACTGACTCTTTCAGTTTCCAGAAGGCTGGTCATATTATCCAGTACCCAAACCCCTTCTCTAAACACACCAGTACTCTTCTTGAGTTTTATCTGACTCTTAAGGTTCCACAAGGCAGTTTCTAACTACACTAGACCAGGGATCTCTTCACTCTTCAGAGCTACCTCCCTGTTTTGACTGGGTAGGGAAATTCTTCTCTCACTAGAAGATCTATCCTCTTTTCTGGCCTGAATGGGAGGTTTCTCCAAACTACCTGCTCTGCTTGCCAACTTTCCCATTATGCCTTCTGTGTTAAACTGCTCTCAGTTAGGGCTGAATTCAGAATGAATTCTCCTCAACATCCAGTTCAGAAGTCTTTCTCTGCTCAACTGATGGTAACCGATCGATTTTCTTGGAATAGCTTGTCACTCAAGGCTCTCTGGCTCTGTGAAGAATTAACCTTTCACAGTCCTTTATCTGTTTGTACAGCACTTCTAAGCTTTTAAAAGTGCAGTCTGTCCCCACGAGGCTTGCAAATGTGTACTGCAGTGACAGCAGTATTGGGTCTTGTTATTGTTGTACACTCTTTGGCAATGTTTAGGTTAGGTTATTTCTGATGTGTTATGCTTGGGCTGCCTGTAAAAAGTGTTTGGAAAATTCAAGTGGTTCAAAATGCAGTGGCCACAGCACCAAGATCAAATTCTACCAGTTTGTTTCCAAACACAATTCAAAGTACTGATTCTTACAATCAATATTTCTAATTCTCAATATGACCCCATATAACGATACTTAAATCTGGAGATAGAGCCCATAGACAGACAAGACAGATCTTTCTACAAACCTAAGAAAAGCCCCAGGTTGGCAGAAAAATCTGAAATCTAATAAATAAATAAATAAATGGGAGAGTTAAAACACTTAAATTATAGAAGCAGCATCTGTAGCTTTAACAAATGAATGCTTTTTGTGGTTGTTGCTAGGCAACCACAACAGTATTGCCAGCCTTCAAGCCTTTATTTTTGTCAGTAAAAGGTGGAATTAGGGGACAGGGCCCTTTCCAGGGCTTTTTTGACCTTTGAGGGAGGACACATTAGGGTTAGACCTGGCAGCAATGAAGGAGAACTTGATACCACCCAAGTTCTATGACTCCTCCAGGCCTAACTGCTTGCTACTATTTAACAGCAGCCACTTAACAATAGCCAGTGTTACATAGTAGTTAAACTTTCAGATTGGGATTTGGGAGACCCAGGTTTGAATTCCCACTCTGCCATGGAATGTTGGTTGCTGATTGACTTTGGGCCAGTCACACACTCTTAGCATAACCTACTTTACAAGGTCAAGGTTATGCTAAGAGTATGTGACTTGCCCAAACAGTTGTTGTGAGGATAAAAGTGGAGGGGGAGGAGAATAATACAAACTGGTTTGGGTCCCTGTTATGGAGAAAGTCAGGGTATAAATGAAATAAAAATAATAAACATAGCTGAAGAAGAGGCAGGAGAGGAGGAGAGAAGAAACCAAAGAATGTTAAGGATAATGGATGTTGCTAAGAGGAGATTGATATTGGGGGGATATAGAGGAAAGGCTTGCCAAGTCCCCCTGGTGGGCGGGGAAACCCCCGCCCCAGAGGCCCGTTCCCCACCACCAGCGGATCGGGTCCTGGGGGAACCCCACTCCCAAAGCACGCAACGTGCACATCACCCGGAAGTGATGTGACCACGCCGGGCATACTGGGGGCGGGGCCATGGACCTCGGATGGTCATGGCCACGCCCCCAGCATGCCCAGCGTGGTCGCGTCACTTCCGGGTGACATGGTTGTGGCATGCGTGCGCACTCCCGGAGCAGCACTGGAGTCCTCCACTCCATCGTTGCTCGGACTTGGGAACCCTACTCCCTTCCAATCCTTGCAGGTTCTCCACTATGCAACTGGGCCAGACTTTTCCCAGTTAGAGGCTACCAGGGAGAGGGAAGGTGGGAAAGCTGAAGACAGGGGTTCAGATAAAGGTAGTTTGGCTGATGGGTAGGAAGTGGAGAAGGAAGCAGGAAAGGGGGGGAGCTTATAGGGGCTTCCAGGGAAGGGAAAGGAAATAAATGGGAGAAGGAAAATAAGATGCCTTCCCCAAGTCTTTCCGGTTTCCCCACTTGTTAAGACCATAACAGGTTTAGGTCTGGGACCACCTGCATCCATACTTTTATATCTTCTGCTAAAGCTCTATTCTGGTGCCCACAGTTTCATAAATGAAGTACCTGTACCAAGAATAGGGCCTTTTTTGTGGTGACACCTAGACTCTGGAAATTCCTCACTAGGTATATTCATCAGATGACTACTTTGTTTTCTTTTTCATGCCAGTTAAAAACAGTTTTATTCACAGCATTCGAAGACAACTCATTTGGGTGCTTTTTTCTGTTTCACTTTTCCATTCTGTTGGTACTGAAATAGATTATTGAGGATTATTTTAATTTTTAAGCCAACTTGGAGACCCACATTTTGTAGAAAGGAGGAAATGTAAATGTTTTACTAAATTAATACATTTGGAGACTAGCTTTATTTCTATACGAGGTGCACAGACTGTGCCTGTGTAACATCACTAATTGTTACTATTGTAAAGAATGTACCCAATCATTTGATAATTGCTTTACAGGGCTCAGAATTAGGAGGATGGTCTTTAGGACGGTGGACTGAAGATGGCATTGATATCAACAATAATTTCCCTGACTTAAATACTCTGCTTTGGGAAGCTGAAGATCGGTGGAAGCTTCAAAGGAAGGTCCCTAATCATCACATACTGATTCCAGATTGGTACCTGTCTGAAAATGCTACAGTGAGTAGAAGCATCTTCAAACGTAAAGACAAAAGAACGAAACCTTCTCTGGTTATTAAACTCCATGGTCTTTTAAGAAGTAGGTTATGGCTATTCTGCTTCTTTCCTCAGAAACTTAGTGTAGAACAAGTGAAATGGAACTCTTGATGTAATACTTGGCCTGTATGAAGAAACTAATAATGGTAATGGTAATCATTTATATTACTAGGATTCATTCACCTATTTCACTGAGAATGAGTCTGCAGTTCTTTCAGCTGCTTACACTGCAGTACAGGGCTTTGATCAATGAATGGTCAGTAATTTGTATTTGGTTTCTTCCTTGCCTTTTATCCTTTGAATGCTAGACTTAAGATTCATTTACAAAAGATAATTCTGGTTGAATTTTTTTTACTGAAAAAAGCCTTTAGAGAATCATCTAATCACAATATTGCAGATTAATAGGCTTCAATTGTTGCATAAGCAAAATTTAATTAACAGGGCAACAATAGTTCCTCATTTCTGCATGTCCTGTTTAAATACAGAATATTTGTTCCAGTGGCTCAACATCTCCAACTTTAGGTGAAATAAGGGGGGAGCACTTATATAAATCTAGTTTATAGGATATTTTTTTCAGACAATATGGCATTACTGTTTGTAAAAGACATTAATTTCAGTGGATATTTCTTTTCCAGGCTGTTTACTATTCACCGTTTCTTAGCTAAAATCACAGCAATGTGAAGGCATTAATGTATGCCAGCTGCTTTTGGATTATAAACCTGCAAAGTGTAGGGGAGCACTTATTTTGTTTTCTTTGTGGGCAGATAGCGTAACTTTTGTGAAAGAAAAAGACTGTCCTTGACTGCAGGTAGCCCTTTGTGACCATCACATACTAGTTACCAAAGACACTGTGCTACTGAAGACTATGGTTGAATGCTTAACATTGTGGCCCAGTCATCCTCTCACCTATTACTGTGCCCAAGAAAGCTCCTGGCAAACATGGAGCCAAATACACCAACACTACAAGGAGGAGGCAACTTAGGAATGCAGCAAAGACATTTGCACATAGTACTCCTGCAGGGCACTGAGCTGCACAGGCCAAGTACCAGTGAGATCACCCTGAGGTGCTCAGAACAACACAGTCTCCATATGAGCAAAACAATCCAGGAACACAAGTAGAAAGGCCATCACAACAATCCAGGAACATCAGTAGAAAGGTGGCAGGAGTTGACGTAACAGACGACTGCTTCTTAAATGGACAGTTCTATGTGGCCTGCTCCAGGGTGAGCTCACCAAGCAGCCTGGTGATCCTAGCACTTGAGGTCAGAACTACCAATGTGGTCTACAGAGAGGTCCTTCAGTAGAGGGGGTGGGGAAGTATGTATGTCTGGCTTCATTTTTTACACACAATCTTCTCCATTAGAATTCCTACAACAAATGTTACCTTTCAAACTTCACATCATCAGTATTATAACTGGATTTGCAGAACTTAAATACCGTAACGAAGCACGGGTATTAGGCTAGTATTCAATAAAGTAACTTTTTTGAACATATTGAATTTCTGGGGATTCTTATGTGAGATATGGATCAACTAGAATTTCTCATCCATGCTATTTTGCCTCACAAATCCTCATTATGATGATTTTTAAAAATAATTTTTGTGCTGTTTTGTTTACCTGCAGTGAAGTCTTGCCAGAAAATTTGTGCATTTGTGTGTGTCAATAAATCAGTAATATAAATTGTACGTACACTATACATGTAAATGTTGTGTGTCACATGACTATATGCCAAGCATTTCATGTCAAAACTGTACAAAATTTATACACAATGGAAACAAATTGATGTAACAAACAGGAGCCAAAACTGTACACGAATATATAAACAGAAACAAAATAGGGAGCTTTCATTCCTCCCTAATGCAAGGAAAAGAAGTTGTGATTTTGTTCCTTTTTAAACTTTACTTGATGGGACAGTTATTCTGATGACTTCCTCATCCTTTCTGTGGCGTCTTTATTTTTATCTTGCCCTCTAGGTGGCAGTTGAAACGCGAGCAGTAATAGCATGGATGGGGAAAAATCCATTTGTGCTTGGGGGCAACTTACAGGGAGGAGAGCTGGTCGTAGCCTATCCCTATGATATGGTCCGGTCAACATGGAAAACACAGGAGCACACACCTACCCCAGACGATCACGTGTTTCGATGGCTGGCATATTCCTATGCATCCACTCATCGATTAATGACAGATGCCTGGAGGAGAGTTTGCCACACAGAGGACTTTCAGAAGGAAGACGGAACTGTAAATGGAGCATCATGGCACACTGTTGCAGGAAGTAAGTGTCTCTCCCCCTACCTCAATTTGAAAGGTTGTGGTTGTTATTTGCTCTATGAATCAAAATGTTGTCACCCATCTACACAGACGGAAAACAATACTTTAATGGCTCTGTCCCATTGTGTTTTGCAAGGTGTCTCTCCAGTGACAAGGAGCTGTCAAATCTGTATCACACAGTCCTGCCTTCCCAGTGGTATACATGGCAGTCTACATTTATTCAGTGCCCTGAATTTAAAGAGTACCTGGCATAGGTTAAATAGAGCAGGAGCTATACATCAGTTCAAACACTGGTGCTTTATAAGATTCTAAAGACCTTCACTCAAAAATCTCAAAAAGAAGATATGGGATCCACACAATCATTCTAACCACAGCAAAAAAGTATTTTCATGGGTGAAAGGTGAAGGGGGAGAACGAGCTGTAAGTAAGGGCTCAAAGAAGAGGTCAGCATTATGATGCTGGTGAGCTGGCTTTCACTGGTGGTGGAAATTTTGATCTTGCATCTTAATGTAAGGAACACTGGGGGAGGTGATTCCTAGTAGATTATAGCTCTGTTCTGCTTAAATGATCAAAAACTGTTTCCTCCGCAGCTTTCTTTCTTGCTCGCTTGCTTGGCATTCTGCCTTTCTCATTAAGATTCAAGGTAGATTATAACATTTAATAACAATGCCATAAAACAGTATAAGACATACAGACAACAATACAATAAAATTGGATTGCAGAATTAGAAAACAGTGCAATAAAAAAGAAATAATATATACAGAAAACAATGCAATAAACTACAACTCTATTGCCTTTGTACAAGAATCCTCATGAACAATTCCCTCATACAACAACCCTACCTCCTTTACCAAAATGCCCTCCTGATGAGCTGGTTTGTAGATAATCCTCCCTTGCCCTGGGGAACTGAAGATGTATAGCATCAAAAGTTATAATAAGAAGAACAGAAATCTGGCAGAGACATTTTTGCCTTCCTCAGAACATAGGAATATTGTGCAACTATCATTTAAATGTGCATTTGCCTTTGATAGTACAAATATATATATTTAAATAGTTTCAAAATGTAAAAAAAATGTCGATTGATACATAGAATTCCTTTTGCTGTGGGTGCCAAGGAAGTTCGTAACCACATGTGTAAGTTAGATTTCAGCAAGGCAGACTAATAAACTCAGAAGTATGATGAGAATCCATGGGCAAGACTGGGGAGAGGAGCAAGTGAAGGGTGGGTCCTTCTAAAACAAGAGCTCTTGCAAGATCAAGCCATCCCTGTTCCAACAAGAAGGAAATATGGTAGGGGATTTAAGAAGCCAATGTGGATGAGCAGAGAACTGTGTGATGTGCTAAGGGAGAAAAAGGAAGTGTTCAAGAAATGGAGGCAAGGACATACCTCTAAAGAAGAGTATCTGCGGGTTGGTAGTCACTGTAGGTCAGCCATCAGAGAGGCCAAAGCTCACAGTGAGCTAAATATGGCCAGGGAGGATCACTACAACAAGAAAAACTTCTTCAGGTATGTGAGGAGCAAACGCAAGATAAAAGAGGCGATGGGCCCACTGTTGGGTGAAAGTGGAGAAACTCTGACAGAGGACGGAGAGAAAGCAGAAAGACTCAGTGCCTATTTTGCCTCTGCTTTTTTCACTGAAGAAGAGAACAGGCTCTTCTAGAGATGGTAGTAGGCAAGTCACAGCATCTGGGTTGCTGGTGGACATGGACAGAGAGGTAGGTGAAAAGCACCTGGCTGCAATGAATGAGTACAGATCCCCAGGACCAGATGGTATGCACCCACGAGTGCTCTAAGAACTTTCTAGAGAGCTTGCAGAGCCTTTGTCCACAATCTTCCAGACATCTTGGAGGATGGGAAACATGCCACAGAACTGGAGTAGGGCAGATGTTATCCCAATTTTCAAAAAAGGGAGGAGGGGTAACAAAGGAAATTACAGGCCGGTCAGTCTGACCTCTGTGCCAGGGAAGATACTGGATCAGATTTTAAAGGGATTAATCTGAGAGCATCTAAAGGACAGCTTGGTGATCCTGGGAAGTCAGCACGGGTTTGTCCCCAACAGGTCCTGCCAGACCAACCTTATTTCCTTCCTTGATTGAGTGACAAGCTTACTGAATTGAGCAAATGCTGTTGATGCTGTTTACCTGGATTTCACTAAAGTTTTTGATAGAAGAAGAGGAGGAGGAGGAGGAGATTGGATTTATACCCCACCCTTCACTTGGAGTCTCAGAGTGGTTTACAATCTCCTTTCTCGTCCTTTCCCCACAACAGACACCCTGTGTGGTGGGTGGGGCTGAGAGAGCTCTTTTGAGAACTGTTCTTTCAAGGACAGCTCTGACAGAACTATGGCTTGCCCAAGGTCACCCAGCAGCTGCAAGTGGAGGAGTGGGGAATCAAACCTGGTTCTCCCAGATTAGAGCCTGCACACTTGACCACTACCCCAAACTGGATTGCGCATGATGTTCTGATGGGTAAACTAAAAGATTGTGGACTGGAATGTAGGAGCATTCCATGCAAAGCTGGCCATGATAAAGGACAAAAACGGTAGGGACCTAACAGAAGCAGAAGAGATTAGGAAAAGATGGCAAGAATACACAGAAGAACTATACAAGAAAGACCTCTATGTCCTTGACCTCCACGACGGTATAATCACTGACCTCGAGCCAGACATCCTGGAATGTGAAGTTAAATGGGTCTTAGAAAGCATTACTAACAACAAAGCTAGTGGAGGTGATGGTATTCCAGCTGAGCTATTCAAAGTCTTAAAAGATGATGCTGTTAAAGTGCCGCACTCAATTTGCCAGCAAATTTGGAAAACGCAACAGTGGCCACAGGATTGGAAAAGGTCAGTATACATTCCAATCCCAAAGAAGGGCAATGCCAAGGAATGTTCAAACTAT